GCTCCATATGTGGCACCCGTCGTGTTGTTCATGTAAGTACATATTTGATGATAAGTGTAATTCAGTGATGTCACATTCGAGAAAAGAGGACGGAATTGTGGTTACATTAACAAAAACGTAGTCGTCTGTGAAATAGATATTCCAGAACGGTAAACCAACTCGTGAAGGCGTCCATAAAACTTTCGAAGTTGTGACTTCAACTGTACCACTTGGAATCTTTGTTTTATACCTTCCTTGTCAGCAGCAATTCTCTATGATTAGAAATACAGGAGCTTTATGTGCATAAAATTATAATCAAAGCATTCAATTGGTTTGGTAAATATCGATAATGCCACACAATAGAATTTAATTAGTTGTTTTTATTTATTTGATAACTATTTCTCGTTTAATTCCAAAGTAGGTAGACCTTAAAAGGAAAAACGTAATTTAGTCTGATGCTTATTGTATCATAATTTTCGAAACCTTCGTGCAAAGTAAGAATAAACATTTTACATCCTTCTAAGAATTGCTTAGTTCATACCAATTTAAAGGTCAAACAAGGAAAGTGACCCATTTACAGTTCCCTGTCATCACATATTATAAACAAATAGAAACTTACATGATATTAAATGTTATAAAGCGACACACAATAACATATTCAACTGTTTTTACGCAAATGGAGAATTTACTTTCACCGGTTAATCGCAATTCGCTAAAAAAATCGTGTGGCTTTAAAGGTACATGAATATACATAATTTAAACAATTTATCAGCAAAACAGTATAAACTCATTTAAATACAAGAATTATTATCAACAAAGCAAATTAAAAAAAATCATGTAAATACATCGTCCGAAGTGATTGAAACCTGAGTATCCGTACTTTGCTTCGATATCTCTCCCGTTAATGGTGTACTGGAAGACCATAAACTAAACCGAACTTTCTTAGACTGATCAATACCATTTGGAAGACTGCTATCACAGTTAGAATTTGACACATCCGAACAATCTCTATTATACGAAGTCAAGTTTATATTAGGCATTGAAAAACGACCATCTCCTCTTGAATCAAACGATTCGGAAAGGGATACTGAAGTTAACAAGTTCCGAGTTTCTTTAACTTCTAGTTTTCTTTTATCAGTTGAAACGAAATTCCCACTTTTTAAATACCGAGATATAGCAGATTCTTCGTCCCTATTCACATTCCTTTTCTGAATATGCCCAGCTATTAACGCCATTATTGCAAGTCCATACACAACCACAACGGCGACAATAAAATATGCAGCACCTGTTGCGTCATAATCATCTATTTTACCAGTTGTCGTACAATTGATAGCACTTACAGTATGTGTCTCCATAATATCCTAGCTAACTACATATTTCCAACATAATTATTTCGACCATATTTATTTTTAAGCAAGGGTATTTAATTTTATGAATTGAACAAACTTAAGTGATATATGAATAACATTGTATGTATTGTGGTAATTCAGGCATGTGAGACTTTCATACTTTGAATAAATAAAAATAGTTTTAAATATACATTTTAAGCACACGGTTTAAATGATATACACGTTTTGGAAAATTAAGAAATTTAAATATCACAGATCCTCACTTCATATTATTAATTTCCCTTACAGATTTACATATCTGTGGATGTTGAAAACGTCACAGATTTAAGTGTAACTGTTGATTTTTTCCTTGCAGATACGTCTGGAAATGTATAAGGATGTTTTTTTGTCACCGGAGATTCCATTTCCGATGTTTCCGAATACGAAGATCGCAGTGATGTATCGGATTCCGCATTTGACAATTCACTTTCTGTGAGTCTAGCATCCTCAGATTCAGATATTCTCTGTTTTCGTCTTTCTTCATGACGGTTAAGAATAGCCTTTACCATGTTTTTACGATGTTGCATTAACTTTTGCCTATGTGCCGCTAAATTGACTTTTCGTTCCATTTTTAGGTATCTCCCTAATTCTTCATCTGTACAAGCTGTGTCTCTGTTCTTTCCTTTTATCCTGGCACAAAGCATAGAACACACTCCAAGTAGGGAGTATACCAGCACAGTGCTAACTATATATTGCATAGCTCCTTCTTGGTCGTAATCATCTGGGAAGCCATCACCGTCACTATCCAAACTTGTAACGTTTATTGGTGCCAAGGTAGTATTCATCCTTTTTTGAGATATAATCAAATCATTCTGAAGACTTCAGAAAGAAAATATCACAAATTATAAGGAAAAAATCCTATTCCAAAGTAGCATAGAAGGTGCTAATATCAACTGTATCTTAATACTACAAACGTGCAGAGTATTAACTGAAAACCTTTCAAAACATTACAGTGTAAAACGCGTTATTATTCTCGAATCGTTGTTCTTGTATAAATTTTGTTAGTATAAACACCCGGTGTACCATAAACCATATACATTTAGATATGTACAATTTGATCCAACTCATTTCATAAATTTCACAAATGTTTATATTTTCACTGACTACTAAAGTATTCTTTTTAAAAAGAAATCATTCTAGCTGAGATAACTCTGCATTTACCCATCCATGTCTGTTTTCATAGTACTAAATGGTCTGTATAATATGCACGGACTCGTATTAAAACATTTCCATGTATTATATCACATGGTTTGTGATTGTTATCACATTATTCTGACGTATTACTATTGTGTTTATATCTATACTATCAAGACATCAGTTTAGATATCAAGTACATATATTAATTTCCTTGTATCTATCTATACACATTTGTAAATATATGTTGTGCATTTCTAATCAATATTTAATCTAATAAAAAAAACCTTTAAAGCCTTTGTTGAAGTTTTTAAAAACATGTTGGTCTGATGAACCTTTTGATATCTCACGTGTCTTTTTTTGAAAATTATAACCCGAATAAATGACTATATGATAATAAATAAAATTCATATCAAATTTATTATCTTAATACGGTAAATATACGTACAGCTTTAAAGTAATTATAAAAATCAACTTTAAACTATAAAACATAGAAAGCACATTTGATGTCATGCCCTGCAAAAAATTCTAGTCTTGCTTCATGTCCAGTCTTTTACATTTTCTCTTTCCATTTTAGACTCTAGGAGGATAGTTACAATAAAAGAAACGCTTTTGAAAAATGTAAGAAGATACAACGAGAACAACAATTAAAACAAAAGTGAGGAAAATCAAGCAAGACCATGACAATAATAAAAAACGACGATCAGTCCACAGAACACTACAGATAATACTAAAGACTACCATCACGAACCCAACTGCAATCCAGGGATAATCCGAGGTGCTACGGAAAGGTTGACAGATCCCATTTCACTGGTGGCACCTGTCGTGTTATGCATAGCAAGTAAATCGGTAATGTCATAATCGATGTATAGAGGGCAAGATTGTTACTCCAACAATGTTTTTGCTTTTCTGTTGTTTATAGAAAGAATGTCATGTAGAGTAAAATATTCATTAGTTTGTGGCTTTTGAATAAGATAAACCATTTTTAGCTTGTATTTTAAGAATTCTTTGTGTGAAAGGAACTGTGTTACAAGTGTTTAAACGGACCATAAAACCAACAAATCTGCAAAAATAGGGATTGTACTTCAACATACTTCCCAGTTCAAAATATCGTTTGCATTTGACTATGAAGAGAACCAAGCCTTTTTTCTGCGTGCGTTTATCGATTTGACCATGTCCCATAAACTGCAAGGTAATACTATAGAAGAATGCATATATTTTAGCCTTCCATACATCAATGACTTATTATAAGTTCTTAATTCACAAAAAAAAAAAAAATCCGAAATCTGTAGGAAACTTACTAACTTGGACTGCTTTGGCAACATTTGACTGAAGCGTACACCGCAAAGTTTTATTCTGAATATTTCGTTACCTAGCATAATTCCAAGTTGTCAATTTCTAATTTATTAACTTAATTGTAATACTTATTGAATTTGCAACATTACGTTTATCTAACATAAGTTCTGATTGTTTACTTATTTCAAAGTCTGTGGTTTGACCAAATAGACCATTTTCATATTACCGACTTTTGACTCCGGTTTATGTAATTTTTCGACAGGTTACTCACTTTGTGGTAGGACATCCTGGTACTCCAGGTAACCAAAAGAAGTATAATCAAATATATAATCGGTGCAATTTGGGGGGAAAGTTTACTGTTTTCCGATGATTTTGTCGTGTATAGAAAACATAAAACAGTTTTTCCCCAAAAATTGTACCGATTGAAAGCTTTATTTTACTTCTTTAAGTTGCTCTTACTTTACCGATTACCAGGATGTCCTACCGATCTTTTAAAATTAGTTTCCGTAAATCTGTTTTTAAAAGAGTTATATCTAGTGCACACAATTTTTTGTTTGTCAATGATGCCTATTTATACACTAGCATACTATTCGACCAACTTGGGTCTTTAAAAGGAATATACAATTGAAATAAATAATACTTCCCGTCGATTAAAACATCTTATGTGAACGACATTCCTCTTCCTGTAAAGTCATTGTTTATTCTAGTTTCACATGTATAAATATTTCCGAAAATGTCTAATCCAAGCTTGTGATCATGCATGCTTCCGCTGACTAGTATTAGGTAAGAGATTCATGTTTTTCGAAATCTTTTTATCAAATGACCATACAACGATGTTGAAAGTCAATATTTTATAGTTTAACCTGATTTCATTTATAAAATGTATCTATATATATATATATATGTGTTACTTTTGAGAAAGCTTATAACCAAAAAGATGTGATTGTGGTTAAATGGATTTTCTTCGCAAATGTCGAACATACTAACTGTACATAACATTATCATACTAACTAAAATTTACGTATCAGCTACAAACGCAGTGACAGTATAAACAGTTAAAAAAAAGTTAACGATCGAGCTATATTGTCTATTCGAGTGTGATGATCATATGTTTGTTTGACCATATCATGAAAGAGAAATTAAATTTCCCGCTTAGTTATACTTCCTCTTCATATCCAAATATAAACAATGACGTATGTAAATCCCCAGTTTTTATCTTGTGGAAGTTCTTACTTTCGTTTTCGTTTTCTACGACTTTTGGAAAATCTTACAGAAAGTGCCCAAGATAATTTCAAACCATTATTCGATTTAAAACAAATGAAGGTAAGTTAACTAATGGTACATATTATATCACTAAAATTACATATGAATCTTTGTAGTAAAATTCAGAGAGGTTTTTGAAAGGTTAATTTTAAATCATAAAATGCATGATTACCACTGCTCAAAATTACATTCCGAAATCAATTCCATCCTCAATAGCGGAATAGATACCAATATCGTTTCTTTATAATTTATAATATTTTTTGAACTAGTAGCAAAGTGAAGGATAAACTTAAATTAATTAACTCAAACATTGTCAAATTAAACAAATGTCGAAATGATCATATTTTTTCGTGGTCGTTCACACTGGTATAATATGTAAAGTACAGTGAAATTGTACTGTCTGCTGTACAAACGTCACATAGGACTATGTGACCTAGATAATTTAAAGACCCAATGCAAGGTGCATTCTAAATATAGTTATATGAAATTTAGGAGAAAGATAAAATAACACAAAAAGTCTAGCATTGAATATGAGGTACACGGAAGGGTTTTGTTGCATTGATTACATGTTTATATGTAGAGTTATTCTATTCAAGTCCATGTTTATGACGGAGAATTAAGTGCATGTTACTGCTCCCGAGCTGTATAATAACACAATAAAATTGAGAATGAAAATGGGGAATGTGTCAAAGAGACAGCAACCCGACCAAAGAGCAGAAAATAGCCGAAGGCCACCAATGGGTCTTCAACACAGCGAGAAAATCCCGCACCCGGAGGCGGGCTTCAGCTGTCCCCTAAACAAAAATGTGTACTAGTTCAATGAAAATGGACGTCACACTAAACTCCAAAACATATAATTGAACTAAAATTAAAAAACATACCAGACTAACAAAGGCCAGAGGCTCCTGACTTGGGGCAATAATCCCCTTTAATGATGTATGTAAAAGATAAATCTCGAAACTATATTTATAGATAAAAAAACAAGCATAAAATTATGTCGTATGGTCTTCAAAATGTGAGCCCTAAATCTCACTAGAAAAAGATGATTGCTTTCTATATCTTGATGATTTTACACACATTTATGGTAAGTACTTGTCAATCTAATACGTTAAAGAAAATTAATTTGACTTTTTAGTTTTAGAACATCGAATAGACCATCATACTGCAGTTTCTATATCTTCTTTTCTGATGGCATCGTCACCAGGTGTCCGTGTGTTTGATGTACCAAAAGATGCTTCCCAAAGAGATATCAAAGTTTATTTCAGTAACCCGCGGAATGGAGGGGCTAAAATCACCAGAATCTATTATCCTCTACAGGGAAACGATGCAGTGGTTTTGTTTGAGCGTGAGAAAGGTGAGCGACAATCTGATATTTGTACTAATAGAACACACAGGAAAGAAATGTCGTTTGAATTTGTTCGTCTTAAATTTGACATTTGTGGATGTACAAAATGATGTGACGCTTATTAAAAAAATCATTTAATTTACAAAACGTTGAATTTTATGTTGTAATGAGTGTAATTGGGATTATATTTTTGTTGGCTCGACATACCTAATTCATATAGCTGTTCTCATCATTTGTTCTCCACCTCGTTCGTTGTCGGTCATCTGTAAACTTTCCAGTTTAATATTCAGTTTTAACAGAACTATTTTTCGAGTGATATATGGACAATCCTATACCACTGCCTCATTCGGTTCCGATCGAATTGAAAACATGGCACTAGAGGCGTGCATTTTTTATTCTTGATTAACATGCTTTGAAAAATCTTTTTTGCATCTGCAATCTTCATATGTTTTTTATTGAGTGGGTGGCAAACATGGCGGAATTGGTTACACGAAGTTCTCATTGAATCCTTATCGAAAACCACATTTTCATCTCTTTTTTTCTGAAACCCAAAAAAAAAAGAAGCTAAATTTGTCGGAAGTTATCTTACCTTTAGACTTAGTCTATATAGCAATTAGGAGGCAAATTTGCTCCTAGGAGCCTCTATTATCGCAATGGTTGATATTACATATTTGGAAGTTGAAAACTTAATAAAAATCTAGTTATATCTTAATTTTATTTAAATCCGTTAGGAAATTTGATTTTGATGTAAGGTCTTCAGTATTTTCTCTTTAATTTTTTCACAATTTACCAAGACTCGGTGCTTTTAAGCTTGACGTATGCATAGACACGCTCGTCTATTATTAAATACCGTACATTGACCTCATAAGTTAACTAATACAGATTAAGGGGGTGTATTTTAGTGCCCAAACTATTTAAACCCGCTCCTCAATTAGTACTGACATCCTAATCATATTTTAAAAGATGCATTTTCTTACAGTTAATCCAAAAATATTTCAAATGGACCATGTGTTAAGAGGACGAAACCTAAGGGTCCGACCTTTACAAAGACAGGTATGTGTGACAGTAATTGACAATAGTATAGGAATCTAAATGATAAGTAAATGTTGATTTGACAGCATCCCTACAACAGAAAAAGTAAAGATTTAGAGCACACGAAATTTGGCCACAATCTTTATTGGGGTATATTATGTCGTTTGCTCAGTCTTTGGTTTTGTGTGTACTGTTGTTTGTCTTTGTCTTTTTTAGCCATGGCGTAACAGTTTATGTTCGACTTATGAGTTTGAATGTCCCTTTGGTATCCTTCGCCTCTCTTTTAAAAATTGTGTCCGATGATCCCGCCTGCCAACCAACGTGCCGACATGTTGAAAAATAGAACATGAGGGTAAAATGCAAGTGTTGTATATTATATTGAAAGGCAATATAGATAAAGAAAATCTGACAATGGCAGAAACGTTAAGAATGATGAGATCTACCTACTGTCTATTTACGTGAAATATCTCTGGTGACTTTTATACGAGTTATTGCCCTTAAATGACGAATTTTATGAATTTCTTTTCTATTTTTGTCTATTATCCTGAAAACTAAAGTAGACAGACAGAAAACTTTAAATAGAAAAAATGATCAATAAGACAAGATCTACAAAATAAGTCAAAGATGGCTGAAATTGTCAGTTGACTCATCATAGGAGTTAAGTCCTTAATGAATTAAATAAGATTTATCATAAAGAATACAAGATATCTTGTTAACTTGATCAGATATCTTGAAATTGAATATATTAAAAACGTCTTGCCACACAAGTATACAAATGTGGCTTAATTAGTATGAATTAAAGGAGATGTGAGGTATACGTCAATCGGAAAGTAACCAATCGACACAAAAAGTCAAAAGAAAAAAATGTTCGTGCTTTATTTGTAAAATTAGCCATATAACTCATACTTTTTTCCCCTATTCTCAAAACATAATGCTTGCCAAGAGTTAGAGAAAATTGGTTCTTAGTACATGATTTATTTAAAACGTTTTTAACAAAAATACAAGATATGAATATTTATAAATGAAACAAAGACCTCGTCTCCTTAGAACAAAGTTGAGGTTGGTCACTTTTCAATATTTTTTAAGCATTTTGTTGGTTAAGGGAGTATATCTTTGACTTCAGATGCACATTTTTTGAGATAAAACAACTAAAACGCTTCAAAATGTTGTGTTGATAGCATTTAAATGTATAAAGTATTTTCTGTCAAAGCGTATTTACATTTCAGGTTTTCTCCAAGGTGACTGTAGAACTAGGAAAAGAAATTACTTCGTTACTTGACAATGATCCAAAGTATCTAGATGACATTCAGTATGATGGCGAGTTGGAGGTGATTGCAGAAGACAATTACACTATAACCGGTGATTGGTACCAGATAGAGTGGGCGTGGCAATACTTGGATGATGTATGTAACAAAAGTGATGACACAGTTGAAGTCATACCGAATGGCATTGACCAACATGCACCTGAAACGCTACGGGGAAACAGCGATGACAGTGTTATTTTGGGGGCCACATCCATTAAAAGTGAGGATGACGTACCGCTCTTACAATACCCACATCATACGGAACAGGCGTCCGGTTTCCAGCCTTACTGGAAGGATTCAGACGAGAGACACAGTTCTGATTCACGTTTTCTTGATCCATTCGCTTTTGATGATGACGAGTCTGGTTTTAACTTGTTAACTAGAGGCTTAGACATGCCACACACTGGTTTTCCATGGTTAGAAAACAACCTTGGCAGGAAACAGCAAACAGGTTATAATGTTTCCCGTCAAGACTTCCAAGACGTGCCATTGACATACGAATTTAACGTTTCTTCTTTGAAAATATCCGTGTTGATGAACGATCTTCTACAAGAGACAACCGATGCCATTGTAACGTCTGCATCCGGCGACCTGTCAGCACAGTATGGTATATCCAGAGTTATTGCTCATTCAGCGGATCCAAAGCTAAGGAGTGAATGTCGCGAGTATATTGATAGGCATGGTCAACTCAGTGTTGGAGATGTCATGCATACAAGTGCAGGTGGGGCCTTCGATAAAAAGGTTGGATTTGTTATCCATGCTGTTGGACCTTCGTGGCGAGAATACAGAAACGAGGAATCAGTCCATATGTTAACATGTACCTATCTCAATATCTTCCAGTATTCTAGTAGTAACATGTGGCTGACAAATATTGCAATGCCTCTTATTGGTGCAGGTAATACGGGTTTTCTGTCTTCTACAGTGATTTAATACAATGTATAATAATTTACGATACTTTATATGCCATTTATTTTTGAACAAATATTTTAGACAATAACTTGAGTATAAGTGTATGGATCTCCATGATATTGTTCCACAAATGGAAGGTTAGGTTTGATTTTGGGGGTTATTGTCCCAACTGTTTAGGAATTAGGGGCAACAAAACAAGCATTTTTCTTGTTTCAGGACAATAACTTGTGTTTTAGTCTATGGATCTCTATGAAATTGTACAACAAGGTTCCATGCCGGAAAGGGAAGATTTTGGTATATTTTGGGAGTTATGGCCCTAACCGTTTAGGAAAAAAGGGCAAAAAAAAACCCTTTTCTAATAGTTTGTATAAATTGCTTATTTCATGACCAATTATAACGGGGTTTAATTCCAAATTTTGAATTCTTGGGGTTCTTTAATATGCTGAACCTAACTGTGTATTTGGATTTGGATTTTGGGCTCCGTATTTCAATTGGTCCAAAGGGTCCAAATTTAAACTTTGTTTGATTCTTTTAACAAAAATTGAATTCAAGGGGTTCTTTGATTGCTGAATTTTACCGTGTATTTAGATTTGGATTTTGGGCCCCGTTATCAAATTGGTCCACATTGAGGTCCAAAGGGTCAAAAATTAAACTTTGTTTGATGTCATCAAAACATGAATTCTTGGGGTTCTTTGATATGCTGAATCTATCCATGTATTTAGCTTGTGGATATTAGACAATAATAGATAAATGTCCAATTTCATTTTTTTAAGTTCTCAGACCACATTCATTCTGTATCAGAAAACTATGCTATGTCAAATATTTAATCACAATCCAAATTCAGAGCTGTATCAAGCTTGAATGTAGTGTCTTCACTTGCCCCAACTGTTCTGGGTTCGACCTCTGCGGTCGTATAAAGCTGCGCCCGGAACATTTTATTATAGTATTGTGATCGAAGAATATTTACCGTCAGTGGCAGGTTGTAATCACCTATCACTTGAAGTATTTACACACAGGTTGCGTAAATACGCATATTGCAGATTGCTTAACATATTTTAGTTTGCTTCAATTCTATTTAAAATCTGCACGCGTAGGGGCGAGACGACTACTTTTCGACCTTATAAATTTACCAAAACGTGATGCTTTCGAAAGTACCATCGAATCATATTACTAGGTATATAAATATCAAACAGTAATCTTCTCTATAAAACTTACTCTCATTGCGATATGGCTTTTTGTGCAGATGCGTCGTAAAGCAACCATCAATCAACCAATCTCTATGATACACTCCATGTTACTATACGACCGCAAAAAAAATTTTGTGGTCGTATATTGGTATGACGTTGGCGTCGTCGTCATCGTCGTCGTCGTTTGAAGACACATTAGTTTTCGCACTCTAACTTTAGTTTAAGTGCATGGATCTCAATGAAATTTTACCATAAGGTTCAATACCACAACAGGAAGGTGGGGATTGATTTTGGGGGTTATGGTACCCACAGTTAAGGAATTAGTGGCCAAAAAGGGGCCAAAAATAAGCATTTTTGTAACTTCCAGACATAACTTGTGTGTAAGTGTATGGATCTCTCTGAAATTGTACCACAAGGTTCCATATCACAAAGGGAATGTTGGGATTGATTTTGAGGGTAATTGCCTCCAAATTTTAGGAATTAGGGGCCAAAAAGGGGCAAAAAACAAGCATTTTTCTAGTTTCGTGACAATAACTTGTGTGTAAGTGTATGGATCTCTCTGATATTGTACCACAAGTTTCCATATCACAAAGGGAATGCTAGGATTGATTTTGGGGGTAAGTGCCTCCAAATTTTAGGAATTAGAGGCCAAAAAGGGGCAAAAAACAAGCATTTTTCTAGTTTCATGATAATAACTTGTGTGTAAGTGTATGGATCTTTATGAAATTGTACTACAAGGTTCCATATCACGAAGGGAAAGTTGGAATTGAGTTTGGGGGTAATTGCCCAAAAAAGTTTAGGAATAAGGGGCCAAAAAGGGGCCAAAAATAAGCATTTTTCTAGTTTCTAGACAATAACTTGTGTTCAAATGTATGGATCTCTCTGAAATTGTACTGCAAGGTACCATACCACAAAGGGAAGGCTGGGATTGATTTTGGGGGTAATTCCCTCAAAATTTGAGTAATTATGGGGCCATAAAAGGGCAAAAAAAACAAGCATTTTTCTAGTTTCAGGACAATAACTTGTGTGTAAGTGAATGGATCTTTATGAAATTGTACTGCAAGGTTCCATATCACAAAGGGAAAGCTGGGTTTGAGTTTGGGGGTAATTGCCCTAAACGTTTAGGAATTTGGGGCCAAAAAGGGGCAAAAAAAACAAGCATTTTTCTAGTTTCCAGACAATAACTTGTGTTCAAGTGTATGGATTTCTCTGAAATTGTACTACAAGGTACCATACCACAAAGGGAAAGCTGGGATTGAGTTTGGGGGTGATGAATTCATAAGGGGGTTCAAAAAATTGGGGGAGGGGAATTTTTTTTCCTTTTTTTTCTTTAAAATTTTCCATTTTAAATTGGTTATTTCTGATTTATATATAAAAGCAAATAATAATGATATGGTTTGAATAGGTAAATTAAATTTTTTTAAGTTCTTAGACCACATTCATACTGTGTCAGAAACCTATGCTGTGTCAAATATTTAATTACAATCTAAATTCAGTGCTGTATCAAGCTTGAATGTTGTGTCCATACTTGCCCCAACTGTTCAGGGTTCGACCTCTGCGGTCGTATCAAGCTGCGCCCAGCGGAACATTTTATTGATATCTTGTCATTGCAACTCCCATTGATTACAACCATCAGTCAACCAATCTCTACAGTACCCTCCATGTTATTGATATCTTGTCATTGCAATTCCCATTGATTACAACCATCAATCAACCAATCTGTATTTTACACTCCATGATATTGATATCTTGTGGTTGCAATTCCCATTGATTAAGATTCAGACAATGATAGATATCTTCCGAATTTAGAGGTAAAACTGCACAGTAATTGATTAGTAAATGTCTCTCCACATCTTGTCATACTAAAGGAGCAAGTGACATTTAAACTCGTGTTAACTGATAATTTTATTCGTTTTCACGTGACAGTAGCTTGCCGTAATACCCCTGAATATCAAGGCGCGTTATAGTTGAGCGTGCATTTTGCGATTAATTTCATTTACGATTGCGCGCGATATTTTATTACATTTCCGCAATTCCAGTTAACAAGCAACTTGGGTTATTGTCGAGCTTCCGAAATTTATTTCGCGAAAGCGAGACATAGCGATCCAATATTCAATCGTCGGCGTCGGCGGCGTCAACATTTAGGTTCAGTCTGTGGTTAAGTTTTTTTGGACATCAATTACTTTGTCAAACATACATGGAATTTTATGAAATTGGGACAGAAGCTTGTTTATGACCAAAATACAGTATCTAGGGCAAAATTTTGAAAATATTTATTTTCTTTTTTCCGTATTTTACTAATAAATGGACTTAGTTTTTTTTACAGTTAACTTCAGATTTTGTCTGAGGTTAGAGTTTTTCAGTCATCAATAACTTTGTCAAACCTTCATGGAATTTTATAAAATTTGGACGGAAGCTTGTTTTTGACCAAAAGACAGTATCCAGAGCAAAATTTTAGAAATATCTATTTTCATTTCTCCGTATTTTACTGATAAATGGACTTAGTTTTTTTACAGTTAACAAGTAGATACAGTCTGGGGTTAAATTTTGTTACACTTCAATTTCTTTGTCAAACCTTCATAGAATTTTTTGAAACTTTGGCAGTAGCTTTTTAATCATTAAGAGATAATGTCTGAGGCAAACCTTTGAACATATATTCAACCTTACACTTTAACACTGACAGCAGCAATCACAGGCGAGACACAGGGTTCCGCGGAACCCCTTACGAATTTTTAATTTAATGATGCTCACAAATCCCATAAGAGCTTATGGCATACATATATATACATGCAAGTAAATTGAGAATATTGAAAAGAGAAAAGTTTCTTACAAGACAGTGATCGCTTAAAAAAAGAAAAAAAAATATGAATTCATAAGCTCAAGACATATCAATGTTTTATGTGTCTCGACACTTTCTTGAAATTACGAACAACTACAAGTTCAAAACTAAGGACTTGACATAAACAAAAGCAAGTAAACGCAGACGTAAGAAAGATTATAAAACTGTGGGTTTCAAATTTTCAGCAGTGAACGGTTATGTTACATCAGTTCTTTTTATACGACCGCAAAAAAATTTGGGGTCATATATTGCTATCACGTCGTCGTCCGAAGACATTTGGTTTCCGGACAATAGCTTTAGTTTAAATGTATGGATCTCTATGAAATTTCAATACCACAAAAGGAAGGTTGGGATTGTTTTTGGGGTGATGGTCCCAACCGTTTAGGAATTAGGGGCCCAAAAGGGGACCAAAACAAGCATTTTTCTAGTTTCAGGACAATAACTTGTGTATACGTATTTTGATTGCTCTGAAATTGTACCACAAGGTTCAATACCACAAGTAGAAGGTTGGGATTCATTTTGGGGGTAATTGCCCAAATCGTTCAGGAATTAGGGCCAAAAAGGGTCTAAAACTAGCATTTTTCTAGTTTCGGACAATAACTTGTCTTTAAGTGTATGGATGTCTCTTAAATTGTTCCACATTTTACAAAAAGAAAATTTCTTCAAATGTTATTATTTTTGGAAAGGGGAGAGGGGGGGGGGGGGGGGGTAAAAAAAATTGGGGGGGGGGGAATTTTTTCCCCCTCAAGATTTAAGAAAAATTGGGGGTCACAATTTATTTTTCTAATTCTTTGTATATAGTCTGAAAACAGATTTACTAAGTATTGCGCAATAGCACAGTGTATTGCACAACAGCCAGAAATCTTCATTCAAATCATATAACCAATTTCAAATTCTTTGACTACATTTATTCTGTGTCAGAAACCTATAATGTGCCAAAAATTTAATTACATTCCAAATTCAGACCTGTATAAAGCTTGAATATTGTGTCCATTTTTGCCCCAACTGTTCAGGGTTGGACCTCTGCGGTCGTATCCAGCTGCGCTCGGCGAAGCAGGCTGCAGTTTATTACTCGTAGATTTAAGAGGAATAGTTTTATATAAAAAAATTATTTACCCGAATTAGAATTTTAAAATGAATGAAAACAAAGGTAAAATGCATGCACATAAATGTAAAATGAATGATTACAAAGGTAAAATGCATGCACATAAATGTAAAATGAACGCACACAAATGTAATGATTATTACGCTCAAATGTAATGGTAATGCGTGCAAACTAATGCACCGAAATATCAAATGTACGGAAATAACACTCCTTTTCTCGGTATAGTACATCTCTGTGGTGCTATGCCAAACTTTGGTAATGCTTTGCCTAGATCAGTTCAAAATTGTTTTCTTTCGGAATTTTTGTTTAAAAACAATTAAGGGAAATATGTGTTCAAATGCTGTCTTAAATGAACGATATTGATTTTTCAGGTGGTGTGGGGTTCCCATTAGATGTTTGTGTGCAGGCGTTCTATGATGCATTGCTTTTATTTGTCATGGATCCAGAAAACCTTAGCCACTTACAAGAAATACATCTTGTTAGTAATGATGAAGACAGCACGTGTTCAACTATTGTAGTTTTGCGATCCCTGTTAGATATTGACCAAATATCTACACAGGAAGCTGCGAAAGATCGGTATCTGAAGCGGACAGCCGAGTTTGGATTTAAGGCGAAAAATTTAATTATTGACAGAGAAGAAGAATTGTTGGGTGTAAAGGATGAAGGTTTAAAAAGTAACGAACCGGAAGGAAAGCAACCCATACCTGAGGTAAAACACAGTGGTTATTTGAAGGAAGTCGAACCAGTCCTGGAATTAACCGATGGCGAAACGATCTCGCTCTCACCCAAGGAAACCACTGTCTCTTTCACAAAATCGGTTAGCAGTAATCCAGACATACTGCGGTCGACTGAACCCGTCACAGAAACAATTAAAGAATGGGATGACACAGAAAAAACATCTGCAGTCCCCCAAGCTGTAACTGTAATAGACTCGTCCAGTTCAGACGAATCCATTCCGTTTGGAATGATTGATTCCGACGAAGATGATACGATCCCAAAAAAAAACTTAGTCTTGTTGTCAGAAGATAAACATCAATCTCCTGATGATACGTACTACAGTGGTAGCTTCTCTGAGAAACACGCTGCAAGCGACCGAGATACAAAGATCACAAGCAATCAAGATACAAAGATCACAAGCAGTCAAGATACAAAGGAATTAAACACGTCATTAAACACGCAAAGAGATACCAGTCTTGACAAATCAATTCAAGAGGAAGGCAACGACAGTTCGCTGACCTTTGACATCAGTGATTCAAAAGAAGTTAATGGTTCTATGGAAGATGAAATGCAGAAATCAAAAGACATGCCACTTAGTTCAAGGGATGAAATATCAAGTGTATCACTTCTTTCAACGTCAAAAAAAGGCCGTTATGACGTGTCTAAAAAAATGTCGATGGACAATGGAATTGATGAACATTACGCAAAAACACAGATTTCTACAGAGAATGGAGATTTGCATGAAAACAACAGTGACAAGAATGAAAATTCAACGAAGACGAAAGATCTGAGTCCTGATGTGTATGTTTTGAAAGTTGACAACGAGAATACACCCGTGGATATCACCGACACATAGAGAAGGAAAAATGTAATCTTAACACAAATTATTGTCATAGCCCTACATATTATGATTTTTGTTCGGTTATTGATAATATTACGTCACTATTTAATGTCAAATTACATGTATGACATTCTTAAAAATATTCAAATTTAGTTTTACCCACGTTTAACCATGATTTCGAAAAGTGAAACCGACGGCATTTAAAACAAAATTGACAGTAAGCAAACAGCAAAGGATATCAAGGACAATTAAAAAAAATGAAAATTACAAAATAATTTACTTGACGTCAATTTTGTGCGCGTCCAAGTAAAATTATATGCATTTCTGGTTATGTAAATATATAATTGAACACGTGATTTATCTTTGATGAAAGTATATATCCTTACATGTACACAATGTGTGAAATGAGTTGCTTCAACTTAAAATATATTTTATGCAGGAAAAGGGTTAAACATTAAAATATGGTCACAATTCTGAAGTAGCTAGATATATATAATGCAAACCATCTTAGTGCTTACGATTTGTTGTGAATCAGGTATGATGATACATTATCATAATCCCACGCTACGAAGAAGCTTGGAATATCGTTTTAGCTCGTCCGTAATTAATTTTCGTCTACGGATGCTAACTCAAATACTTTATTACGGATTGCATCAGACTTTGATAAATGGTCACGTATAATTAGATGCAAATTCCAACTGATTTGATATCAATATCTCAAAGGTCATGGTCGAAGTCACTCAAAATGGATTAAACTTTGAGCAAAAAGTGTTTTCCAGATGCTTACTCATATCGGATTGTAACCTTGATGGATATATGGTCACATTAATGAGCGGGTGATCCCTGTAGATGTTGATGTTTACACCAGAAAGGTCAAGGTCAATATATATAAAAAGATAAAAATTTGTGCAAACGCTGCTTCCGAATTCTAATCAAATACTACACATGGGGATTACAACGTTACTTGGATCACATAAAGGAAGATCCCTTTTGATTTTTAGGTCACTATGTCTAAGGTCAAGGTCAAAGTTAATTAAACAGAAAAGACTCGTACCCTAAAGTATTTAAAACATAAAAAAAGTAAGCCATCAGGTCACTTTAAGCTTACCCCTCTTTATATGGGGACGTAGGGTATGTGAGCTGTCTCACTAAAGGATTTTTAATTAGAAGTATCATTGATAATTTCCTGGTTGTTTCAAGTTTTTAAAGCTTAAAAATGTCTGCATTTGCTCCCAAGTCGAAAATTTTGATAAACATCATAGCCGATATATGATCAACATAGAACGAAAGGTTAAAATGTAAGCATGGTTTAATACCTTTAATACCATAATAGATGAGACCGACGTGAAACTGTTCAGATTGTCAAGATAGTTTACGTACTTTCTATTTCTACCAAAATGATCAGATGACTCCTGATAGTTTGTTGTGTCATTGCAAAATTCATGTTGGGTTAATACGAACGTTTTTGGAGGAAAACCCAAATAACACTTTCAACAAGTTCAGTATTTATGTTTTTGTGAATGAATGTTGTGTCTACAAATAAACATTAGGAACGATACATCATACGAACATTCTACAATAAGATTTGGAATATTTAGTTGTACGGGTCCAAATGGCCGACAATTACACTTTTGAACGATACACCAAATCAATATGTTTTATTTCCCTCTTTGTGATTGATTTTAGGAATATAACTATATATGTATGTTGCTTTTGCTATACACTTATCGTTTCCTTGAATGCTTTAGTCGCATCATACTGTGCTTGATGTAACCTTTTATTTAAGTACATTTAATGTAAATAAATGCAGTTTTCATCATCTCAGCATAAAAAAATATATGGAAATGACTTTTTAAGACTTAAATTTATATGTATATGCTGTAACTTGTAAATATAAACGTGCATTTCTGTAGCTTATTGTTTTCACTTTGAAGTGTTACAAAACAATTTAATGAATAAACTAGTCCTATATATGTAATTTTGGTTATTTTTTTCGTAAGGTTGCTGTCTCAGTGACGTGTATCCCTCATCCTATTCATAGTAAACGCCTTACTCTAAATTGTAGTTTGTTAATAATACATGTATCCGTATGCTCTACTCGTGGCAATTGTCGTGTTTCTCATGTCAAGTACAAATCATGTGATACAAATCATGTGATACAAATCTTTATTTGATATCTTTATTTTCTATTAGTTGAAATGCGGCTTAGCATTCAATTACTGTGAGTAATCTTAGACCAGTACTTTGCGTCTTTTTTCTATTTTTTTTTTGTTATGTGCTTAGTACCGATCTAATGAGTGAAGCCCTTTCCAAATATTTTGTCAGTTTGTTCTTATGTTAATAAATTATGTTGTTTTACCACTGTCCAATGTTATGAGGAGGATTGAGCGCTCGTGAACATGTTTAACTCCGATACTATTTGTTATCTAGTTGTTGTTGGATTCTATATGTCGCATTTTTATTCGTTATTATTTTATTAAAATCAGGCCGTCGTTGGTTTTCTCTTCAGAACATTCCCGGGGCGTTTTGTGGTTTAGTATACGTTATGGGATTTGCTCATTGACAAAGGCCGCACGTTGACCTGTGATGTTATAAACATCTTTTTTTTTGGGTCTATATGGAACTCTTTTATTGGCAGTCATACCATATCTCCTGACTTTTATAAAGTCGCATTCTATGTTTAATCTAGAAATAGAGAAAAGGATTGTGAATGAAAGATAATCTAGATATTTTTAGAAAAGTTCTCAAAATTGCACATTTTAAAAAACGATTGTCACAAATTAATGCAATATAAAACCTTCCTAAAAAGATTACTTTGTTTCCTTTGAGGAAACGTACCTCTATTAGAAATTGATTGGAAAGAGTGTCGTCAAATCATTAAAGATGCTCTTTCATTCGATTGTAAAAATTTGTGTAAACAGGAGAAATCTGACAAAAAGTCACTTGATTCTTATTTGAATAAATTCTGAATACTGTGGATTATCGCATATCACATTTCGAAAATAATTTAAAATTTAATTAAAGTGTAGGAAATACGCCTATTTCTAGGATTAAAAAAAAATCAAGTACTCTCAAAGCGTCGTGTTTGTACCGGCCAACAATGCGGTAGTAGTATGACGTAAATACTACACGTAAGTTCTTTTTTTTTCAAGTTGTGTTTTATGGCGGGGTTCGTGTTGCTCAGTCTTTAGTTTACTGTGTTGTGTTTTATGTACTGTTTGTCTTTTCGTTGTTTTTTTGTCATGACATTTTTGTGTTTTTTGCTGTGCATATATCGATTTTGTGTCATGGATCATAGATATCCTATATCCTTTCTTTTCTATTGTCAGTTTGTTTTTGACTTATGAGTTTGAATATCCTTTTGGTATCTTTCGCTTCTCTTCTTGAGAATGAAATTATAAATTCTTTTACACTCAAGGCCGGTGTGCGCTCCACAGAGAGTCAAATAGTAAATAGTCCTGTTACTATCACAGCGTAAGACCTCCTCCGAAAAATTGAATGTCCCGACTATGTATTGCCTATCTAAACTACACAAAAAAAACATTCAAATTTCGTTTCATCTCGGCTTCTAGTAAGTGTTCTACGGCTGAATTAGGTCACCTTACTTCCACCAAAGAACTTGTCAATAGTTTTTATACGGCCGCAAAAAAATTTTGTGGTCGTATATTGGTATGACGTTGGCGTCGTCGTCGTCGTCGTCGTCGTCGTCCGGCGTCGTCGTCCGAAGACACATTGGTTTTCGCACTCTAACTTTAGTTTAAGTGAATGGAACTTTTTGAAATTTTACCATAAGGTTAAATACCACAAAAGGCAGGTTGGGATTGATTTTGGGGGTTATGGTACCAACAGTTAAGGAATTAGGGGCCAAAAAGGGGCCAAAAATAAGCATTTTCTAGTTTCCAGACAATAACTGTGGAACGGTGTATGGATCTCTCTGAAATTATACTACAAGTTTCCATACCACAAAGGGATGGTTAGGATTTGCTTTGGGGGGTTATGGCTCAAACCGTTAAGAATTAGGGGCAAAAAAGGGGGAAAAACAAGGTTGTCCTGGTTAATGGACAAATACTTTAGTACAAAACATAATTTAAAGCAGTGTAAGGGAGATAAATCAAATACATCATTGAAATTATCTCCCTTACACTGCTTTTAAATTATGTATAAAGTAATGGTTAATGAACAATAAAGATAATTTAAAACAGTGTAAGGGAGTTCATCCAAATACAACGTTTTGGTTACTTCCCTTACACTGCTTTTAAATTATGTTTAAAGAAATGCATATTTATAAAGGAAGACCAGTAAAAATATCTGCAAATGTTGCATCATTTTTTTTTTCAAAAAAATCCATATGAAAGATTTGACACTATATTTTTAATTCTATTATAAAATAGATTAAGTTAGCACTATGGTAAATTTAAATGGGTAATTATGGTTGCCAACTCCATTGGAAATTTGAATTGAGATTATGACCATATCTTGAGGGAAAGAATTTTTTGGGGGAAAAAAGGGGGGGGGGGGGGGTAAAAAGAAATTGTGGGGGGTCAATTTTTTCTCATTTCAGATTTCAGAAAGTAAAAAGAATTATTCTTCAAATATTATTTTTTTTTCAAATTTCAAATATTGAAAAATTTCAAGAAGTAATCTTTAATTGCACAGTATGGCGCATTAGATTTGTAAAAGCTTTGATCACATTTATTTATTTGTTATGCCGAATCTAACAATGTATTTAGATTTTTAATTTTGGGTCCAGTTTTCAAAATAGTCTACATTAAGGTCCAAAGGGTCCAGAATTAAACTTTGTTTGATTTTAGCAAAAATTGAATATATGAGGTTCTTTGATATGCTGAATCTAAACATGTATTTAGATTTTTGATTTTTGGCCCAGTTTTCAAGTTGGTCCAAATTGGGGTCCAAAATTAAACTTTGTTTGATTTCAACAAAAATTGAATATATGGGGTTCTTTGATATGCTGAATCTAACCATGTATTTAGATTTTTTATTTGTGGACCCCGTTATCAAATTGGTTCATATTGAGGTCAAAAGGGTCCAAAATTAAACTTTGTTTGATTTCATCTAAAATTGAATTATTGGGGCTCTTTGATATTCCAAATCTAACCATGTATTTAGATTTTTAATTTTGGGTCCTGTTTTTTAAATTGGTCTACATTAAGGTCCAAAGGGTCCAAAATTAAACTTAGTTTGATTTTAGCAAAAATTGAATTCTTGGGGTTCTTTGATATGCTGAATCTAAACATGTGTTTAGATTTTTTATTAAGGGGCCAGTTTTCAAGTTGGTCCAAGATAGGGTCCAGTATTTAAACTTTGTTTGATTTCAACAAAAATTGAATATATGGGGTTCTTTGATATGCTGAATCTAAACATGTATTTAGATTTTTGATTATGGGCCCAGTTTTCAAGTTGGTCCAAATTGGGGTCCAAAATTAAACTTTGTTTGATTTCAACAAAAATTGAATATATGAGGTTCTTTGATATGCTGAATCTAACCATGTATTTAGATTTTTCATTTGTAGGCCCCGCTATCAAATTGGGTCATATTGAGGTCAAAAGGGTCCAAAATTAAACTTTTTTTTTTGTTTAATTTCATCAAAAATTGATTTATTGGGGTTCTTTGATATGCCAAATCTAACCGTGTTTTTAGATGTTTAATTTGGGTTCCGTTTTTTAAATTGGTCTTCATTGAGGTCCAAAGGGTCCAAAATTAAACTTAGTTTGATTTTAACAAAAATTGAATTCTTGGGGTTCTTTGATATGCTGAATCTTAACATGTGTTTAGATTTTTGATTATGGGCCCAGTTTTCAAGTTGGTCCAAGTTGGGGTCCAAAATTAAACTTTTTTTGATTTCAACAAAAATTGAATATATGGGGTTCTTTGATATGCTGAATCTAACCATGTATTTAGATTTTTTATTTGTGGGCCCTGCTATCAAATTGGTTCATATTGAGGTCAAAAGGGTCCAAAATTAAACTTTGTTTGATTTCATCAAAAATTGAATTATTGGGGTTCTTTGATATTCCAAATCTAACCGTGTATTTAGATTTTTAATTTTAAGTCCCGTTTTTTAAATTGGTCTACATTAAGGTCCAAAGGGTCCAAAATTAAACTTAGTTTGATTTTAGCAAAAAATGAATTCTTGGGGTTCTTTGATATGCTGAATCTAAACATGTGTTTAGATTTTTGATTATGGGCCCAGTTTTCAAGTTTGTCCAAGTTGGGGTCCAAAATTAAACTTTGTTTGATTTTAACAAAAATTGAATATATGGGGTTCTTTGATATGGTGAATCTAACCATGTATTTTGATTTTGGACATTGGACCATAATAGGTAAATTAAAAAAATTCAAGTTCTTAGACCACATTCTTTCTGTGTCAGAAACCTATGCTGTGTCAAATATTTAATAACAATCCAAATTCAGAGCTGTATCAAGCTTGAATGTTGTGTCCGTACTTGCCCCAACTGTTCAGGGTTCGACCTCTGCGGTCGTATCAAGCTGCGCCCCAGCGAAGCATTTTATTGTAATAAAGCACTATATGAAAATAATGGAATAAATTCTATATCTAGAGAACCGTTGATTTCATACTTTATAATTGACATGTTTATTAACCAACACCAGAGGGTGTGTCATAATGTTTGTACAACTTCCTAGGTCAAAGTTCAAGGTCAAAAACTTTGGTTTCATTTCGTCCGTCCGTCCGTAACAAATTGTGTCCGCTCTATATCTAGAGAACCGTTGATTTCATACTTTATAATTGACTTGTTTATTAACCAACACCAGAGGGTGTGTCATAATGTTTGTACAACTTCCTAGGTCAAAGTTCAAGGTCAAAAACTTTAGTTTCAGTTCGTCCGTCCGTCCGTCCGTAACAAATTGTGTCCGCTCTATATCTAGAGAACCGTTATGATTTCATACTTTATACTTGACATGTATATTAACCAACACCAGAGGGTGTGTCATAATGT